GAGAGAGAGAGAGAGAGAGAGAGAGAGAGAGAGAGAGAGAGAGAGAGAGAGAACAGTAGGCATACACTGCGGTTGGATGGGAGGAAGTTTGGTTAGCTAGAAAGAAAACGTGAAGAGGAAAGGCTACAGCTGGGATGTGTAGCGGGAAGAGGAAAGGCTACAGGAGGGATGTGTAGCGGGAAGAGGAAAGGCTACAGCAGGGATGTGTAGTTTGTCTGCTTTTTTTTCTGTTTCTCAGGGCATACTCGCACTATTTTCCTTATTTCGGTACGGAACTGCGTCCAGATGCATACAAGTCCGGCAGTAAATGCGCTCAGGTGCATTTAGGATAGTGGTAATGTGAGTACGTCCTCAGTAAGTTCAAAGTTGTGAAAAATCTAATTTGTTGTTTCGTGTACTCGCAATGCTATAGATGTGAATAATTGGAGCCTTATCAATTCCCCCTCTTCCCAAAATAATTGACATTTACGACTGTGAATGGTGGGTGATGCTTGTGAATATACAAATGCAGGTGCTAAAGGCTTTCAAGAACCAAGATCTGTTCCATCATGTTGATATGCTTTTGCTCGATGCGCTGAGCAATGCGACGTCAAAGGATTCCTCGACACAATCATCGCTTCTTGCAACCACCTCTGACTCAACTAGGGGTAGGCAATGAAGACATCCCTACTATGTTTCTCTCACATTTCGGTATCTTGTGAACTCCCAAGTCTATGGCTGGCTACCGTCTTCACGGAACAGAACGCCCGATTGTTATCGCTGTACCTAAACTGACAGTCGTCCCAACTACAGCTATGGTGATCGGGCGTTGTATTCGGATGAAGACTGTAGGTCGTGTGGTCTTCAGCTGTGCACCGAGCTGCGTGAAATGTGGCGCTATGTATCGTCGGCTCTTCTTTTTTTTTTTTTTTTTTTTTTTTGGTATAAATAATAAATTACTATAAACAGGTCCTTATGGTCCTGGCTCGTTATCCATTCCCGGGAGTGTCAATCCGGTTCTGGCAGGAACTTTCATCCGAAGAAGTCGTAAAAAGATTTGTATTTCTGTCCAAATGATTCGGAAAAGGTCCGGGGAGACGTCTCGAGCCATCCAGGAGACAAGTATTGTTATTTTTGTGTGTCCACTGTCCATTAACAAACCTACATGTGGATGTTGGGGTTTGTAGGGGGTTTCGGAGTTAAAAAGGAGTTCTGGAGGGTGGGTTAGAGAAGGGGTGAAAAGTGATTTAAATGGGTGAAAATTTTGGTTTGCAGGCACTTACCTCCTTTGCACTTTGTAGTTCAGACAGCAGAGCACGTGTCTTGCAGCAAATCAACCAGCACATTTAACTAGCAGACATGCAGAGTTGCAAACAGTGCAAAGCAGGCACAAGACTAAAGAAACAGAGAATCTTTTTTTTGAAAAAAGTATGATTAACTTTGAACTTTGAACTTTGAATTTAATCATTTAAGTTCATAACTTCATATATGGAGTCTTCAGAGTGGCAGCACTGTTAGTGCTCTCTCTCTCTCTCTCTCTCTCTCTCTCTCTCTCTC